GAGGAGGTGCGCTTGCTTCGGTCCTCGTGGCGGGGCCGTGTTCGGCTCCCGGGGCCGCTTGTCCAGCTTTCCGGCTCCCTTTCCTGCTCTCTTGGGAAACTTGTTCGCACTAGTTCGTCGTCCGATTGGTCGTCGTCCGCCATCGGGCTGTGAGTGCCCCACATCTGGGCAACCTCTAGCATCGCTCTGTTCTCGGACATGGTGCCGCAGGAAAGTTAGCTGAAGGAGCGGGAGGCACTTGGTTGTATGGAGCCGAGGAGTCTTCGTATAAGAAACTCTGCAGAATTTACACGGCCTTGAAAGTGCAATGTTGTCGAGAGTGCTAGAAATGCTGGTCTGGGCCGCTTGCCACGGTACTTCGTGGTCCTTCTTCATGTGTCGGCGCCAGTCCTGCTGATTAACAACTGCACATGAGCAAATTCAAAGTGCGCAGTGGCGCTCAAGAAAAGTGAGCAGGGGTTTGTCCTGCTGTGGGGCCGGTTGAGTCGGCTCTCCCAGTAGTCTTTCCACGATCTGTCGGGTAAACACTTGCGGACTGACTGTGTTGCTCTCGGAATGTTCTGGGGCGCCTGCCCGATACCATGCGCTCGCCACTGCAACCTGAAACAGGACTACACAGTTTCGCATGTGTCTGTCAGCAGAGTGAACTTTCTGGCCACAGAGCTCGCAATCTCTATCACGCTGGATAATGTCACGATATTGGCTGCAAGTCAAAGCTATCAAGGCATGTGTCCCAAATGGTCGGGTGCATGCGTTTGATGTGCTCTTTGACAGAGCCATTCTTGGCAATCCATTGGTTGCAAAAACCACAATGCGGGATGAGCTCTTTCGCCCATTCATGTAGGGTTGTTAAAGCAACCGGGGGGGTGAGGAGGGCCCTTTTGCTCCCAAGCCGCCTAAGAACCGGTAGGGCTTCCGTAGGACTGGAGGGAGGATGTGATGCCGGGGTGGCTGGAGCGACATGCTGTGGGTTTGCTTCACCCTCCCGATGCTCTGGACTGGCACTGTTAGGGGTTTTTGGTGGTGCTTCGTGAGGGGCCGGAATCGGCGTCCCTTCCGTGGGCGATGCAGGGGCAGGTTATTGGTTTGCTACAGTTGGCCGTGCGCGTTGTCTGCAAGCATAGGTGAGCACATGATTGCGAAGGGAACCCCATGTTTGCAGGTTCTTCTTGCAGTGCTTGCACTGCGGCATGCCGTTGAGACTGTGTTGGTGTGATTGATAATGCTTGGCTTCCTCAGGGTCAATGGTAACAAGCTGTTTATGTTTTAACGCCAGATGTTGTCGTAGTGTTTTCGTCGAGGTGAAGTACACCCCGCACTCCGCGCAGGCGAGCCCCGTGACCGTGGGCTTCACAGGAACCACCGGTGAGGCCTGCAGGGCAGTCGTGGTTAGAGCCTGGTAGGCAAGGTGCGTCTGCTCCCAGAAGTCTTGAATGTCCGCTGTGTTTGTAATGTCTTCCTCTTTGTTGCGCAGTTTATCGCTTTTGTCTGATGCTCTGTTCCAGCTGATCGACTGGGTCCGGTATGCCATGTTTAGCACTTAAGGCCTCATTGCTGACGTGAGATATGGGCCGGCGTATTAGTGACTGCCCGGAGCTGCTTGTAGAACCAGCCTCTTAGGAGAGTTGCAGCCGGGTAAGTCATTCCTAGCGGCGTGAGTCCAAAGGTAGCACTGGAGACGGCACACGCACGCCAGATTCTAAGCCGGTGCGTGAGACTAAGAAGGCGACGCGAACCTCTGGCGCGTATCAGTAGGGCCGTCTTGGTGAGATTGACGTGGAGGCCGAGGGTTCGCATAACCTGCAAGAGGTGCGCCAGAAATTTGGCAAAGTCATGCACATCCTGCTCTGTTTCTATCAGCCATTGACACAACGTATCGTCTGCGAAAGTGGTGCCCTGTTTGTGGGGGCCCGAAAGGGCCGGCCCAAGTTCATGCAGAATGGCAGTGGAGATGGCAACCCATAAGAGTGGGGCCAATTTACATCCTTGGCGAATTCCCCTTGTGGTGGCGACTTTTGTTTCACTGAAGGCATCGTGAATGTGGTACGCCGAGGTATCATGCAGCGCGATCACTGCCGCGATTAGCTCCTCTGGCGCTTTCAGCCTTCTGAGGGCTTCAACCAGTGCCTGGCGGTTAACTCTATCGAATGCTTGTTTGAGGTCAAGGCTTAAGATTGCGCCGCCGACGCAGAGATCATTTTGGGTTCCGGCCTCCACTCGCGCACGTAGCGCGAATCTGCCTGGGGCCGCCTTGCCAATTGTGTGTTCATACTTGCGCATCCAGGAATGGACCCTAGCAAGTGCATCAGTGATGTCACGTTGCGGAAGGTAAGCAAACTGCGGCACCCACGCTAGCTGGGGCCGAATGTGTTGGAAGAGCCGATTTCTGATAATGGCCGCTAGGGTTTTCGCTTCTGGGCTCATCAGTCCTATGGGTCGGAGAGCAGCAGGATTAGAGGGCGCCTTCCCTGGTTTGGGGAGCCACACTATCCACGCATCAGTCCATTGTTCAGGGAGGACTGCGTTGGCAACAGCGTGTTGTTCAAAGGCCTTCTGAAGAAGGGGCGCAACGAGGTCAGCACTTATACGCCAGGCCGCAGCTGGTGCAACCCCTGGGGGACCGCCTTGCCTACCTTGGTGATACACAGTTCGTGCTGAACCTCTTCAAGAGAAAAAACTAGGGGGAGTACTTCCTGCTCTCTGTGGGGTTGCTCGGTTTGTGGGGCAAAGAGGGCCTTACTGTAGCTCACTAGACAGTCGTGCTCTTCCTTGCTCGTGGTGAGCTTACCATTGTCATCTTTGAGGATAACACGGTTACGTGGGGTCCAAGGGGCCAGTTTTTTGACCATCTGGTAAACTTGTCGTTGGTCTCCCTGTTGGGCAGCCTCTTCAGTGGCTTGGAGCAAGTCAAGAATTTCCTGACGTTTTTTCGCAAAGCAGGCTTTCTTAGCCTTTTTCGCCTCCAAGTGATATCGGGTGGCCGCCCGCCAGGCCGCAAACAGGCGGCCCGTGCGTCGAGTCTGGACCGCAGTGTACCTGGCTTGCTGTCTGAGCCTCCAGAGGTGCTGAATCGTGGCGTTGCTTGGTGCCGGTGGCTTGGCAATAGCAGGAAATTCCTGTTGACAAGCCTGACGGAGCACAGCATTGATATCCAAAGCTTGCGTAGGGGAGCCTCCTTCGTGCTGCTCTACCCTTTGCGCAACCGCGGCGCGCAGCTGTTGAGCGTCCGTGTTGTTACGACGGGCAGCATCATCCAGCGATTTTTTGTCAATTGGCGCTGCCGCCGCTCTGCGTGCGGGCAGCAAAAAGTGGTTCATTACCCGAAGACTTGCTTCGAGTCCGAAGTGACCGATGTGCAATCTCCAGGTGCCAATGGGTGGCTTGGCTACTTTAACTTTTTTCGCTTTTGCGTCTGCTGTGGTGATTCTCGTGAAGATAAAGTCGATTTGGCTCGTTCCGGCCTTATTGTTGGGTGCTTGATTGAATTGGGTGGGTTGTGGAGGGCCACACCACGTGTTGAGCGCGGCGAGCCCGTGGCTCTCGAGAAACGTGTTGAGAGCGTCCGGGTCCAGGGCATCAGCACCTGTGTGAAAGGGTGTATTGCAGGTGGATCTGGCTACGTGTGGCGTAGCTGGCTTAACCTCGGCTTGAAAGTCACCGGCTATCACAAGAGTAGCTCGCATGGGAATGCCAGCAATCGCACGGCCCAGTTTACTAAGCAGAGCTTGCCTTTTATCACGCAGGACAACAGGATTAACAGTGAAGTTGTGTGGAAACTGGTAGCAATTGAAGAGCTCAACCCTTCCATGGGGAGTCTGAATTTGCGTGCGAAGGATTCGGCCAGGCTGGATTTCTTCGTGGCGAATGGTATCTGTTTTGTGGCGTGGGTGGATCAACGTGAGGACACCGTCAGCCTTGGCCTTGGTGCCAGAGTGTATGGCACGCCAGCCTTGAACAACAAATTCAGAGGACATCGTCCAGTGAGTTTCTTGAAGGCAAATGACATCGTGCTGGGCATGCAGGAGACACTCCTTGAGCTCTTGCCACAGCAAGGTGGACAACGAGCCAACATTCAGCGAGAGCATCCGGAGCCGATTGGCATATTTGGTGCCCCTTCTGGGACCTCTCCTGTCGCCCTTGGTTTGTGATCTTTGGGTGCCTTCAGTGTTGATGTGGCGGAGTTGTCTGGCAGTGACCCATTTGCCTTTGTACCAGGTACTGCCCTTGTCAGCAGCTCTTCTGGCAGCACGCCTGATGGCACGCTTTGAGCCCAAGGGGTGCTCATCGGGTATGGTCGCCACTGCCTGGGCCGGCCTCCATTGCATGCCAATCAGTGCCACCATGAAGAGCCAAAGGGGCAGGGGAGGCCTGTGGCCTCGACCCTTGTTGCGTTTATGTTGTTTCGCTGTGCCGGTGTTGTTTGAGCCCGGGGCCGTATGATCGGCACCCTTCCCTGCGTAGCATGGCTTTCGTGCCAGTGCAGGGGGTTGGCGCGGCGAAGCTAGACGTGGTGTATCTGTGCTTCCCTGTGTAGCAATCCGGTGTTGGGTCGCGCCACCCGCCATCTTCCCTCCTTGGAAAGACCGTGGCATACTACCACTGTTAGGTCCTCCCCCCGTGGGGGGCCCGGGGGGAACCCTCACCTCACCCAGCCCAGGTGCTTGAGATCTTGCATTTCTAGGACCGACGCGGCTCTGCCACCAAAAAGTGCTAGTGTCGGGTATGTGTTGGGTGTGGGGTCTCCTCTTGTATATGCCATGTATTCTGCGTTTTGTTCGCCAGTGTGTTTGTGCCCGCCTTTGAGCAAGGGTTTCGACTCACACACTCGCACAAGCAGGCATGGCAGGTTCCGTCCCGAGCTTGCTACAGGCACATGACCGGCCAGGGCTCAAGGCAAAAAGCAGAAGTAGGTAATCAAAACAAAGGTAAACAACCAACCCTTGAAGCCCGGCACTCGTCACGGCTCCTCACATTGGAGTACACAAGTTAGAGACATGACTGTTTCAAAACGGTCTATATGATTGACTGCTACAGGCTCACCAGCTCACCCATCGAAAGCTTCATATACACATCGTGCACCTCGTATTCTCTTCTATGCAGGGACCGACTCCTCAAGAGAACTCGGCGATGTCGTGTCGTGGTGTCACTCATGCAGAGGCCAAGTCGCTTCATGCAGATACTCGTTGTGGCAAAATCATGCTGTCGAAATCATGCAAAGCCAGGCTTCCTCACTATGCTCGTCCAGCCGCATTGCGGAATTCGTAAATTCAGTGATACTTAATTCGTTTTTCTGGATTCAAATTCCACGCTTCCTCATCCCAGAGCACCATGACTCCTTCACGTACTGTGATGCTTCAGGCAGTAAGCAACTCGTCGTGGCATATGCAGTAAATTCACATGCAAAACATGCAGGGTGTGGCTGACATGCAAATACTGTAAATTCTCGTCATAGTCCTTGTCGGCCAGGGCTCTCATCTCCAACATGCAGTATCCAACTGGGGCTTAGGTCCAGACTATCAGCTGTATTGCTCTCAAGTCATAGTACATGGCAGCCCAAGTTGTGCTGAAGGCCGCATCAGGTGCTAGCACTTGATCAACCACAGAGCTCAGGAGCATGGCCCTGTCGTAGTAGCACTTCCCAGCATGGGAGATGTTGGCCTGTGACCGGCCACGAGATGGCCTCCGAAGTCATCTCTATTCTTATGTAAACTTCCATGATGAAGAACTGCACGAAACTTTCTTCCGTGTCACAGGTGGTTGTCTATTGCTGTTGCATTCGGCGTAACACTGGAAACTCTTGCGTCGCTTCCTCTAGCTCCTCCAGATATTGTCGGAGTTGTCTGCAATTGAGAGTCCACCAGCGCCACGCAGCCTGCATTCCTTGCACAAAGGTCCGTATGGCATGCGCGACCCTGCACGCAAGGGGCCACGGCATGCAGTTGAGGTGATCCCACACCTCCTGATCCCACAACGGTACGAACGTCCTCAGATGTGGTATACCTTGCAAGTCCGGGCGGCGTCGGAAGAGCGCCATGTCGTGTTAGCAGATCCTTGTTCGTGTTCCAGAAACCAGTTCGCCCACCCAGGCAGCTGTAGTCACCCAGCAAAGGCAAAGTATCCAGTAGTACCACGTTACCGGACTCAGGGATCCATGGCTTCGGTTGTCGTGGGTTAGTGGTTTGTTACAGGGGAGGGCAAATAGAAGGCAGCCAAAGAAGGGAGCTCTTGTCAGTATGCAGCAAGCAGGCGACCCCAGGAGACACGAAAGTCAGGCGGGAGGGCGAAGCCCAAAAACACAGCTCAGAAGTTTCGTGTTGCATTCAAAATATCATCGCTCAGTAGCTCGACCCTCACTTTAGTGTTGTATGTCCCGTCAGACCAAGGCACCCGAGCAAACACCTTGGTTCACTCGTCACTGAGCCTGTTGCTGTGGAGAATGTGGCTATCTGCCACCCTAAGTCACATGCGAGAAGCGTGTCGACAGCTTTGTTACGAGGGCCTCGGCAGGGGCTTGGGTCATCGGACATGACTGGAGCAGACAGAAACACACAGAGCCCCGAAAAAGTCCTACACCCCGGCACTTGGCTTCCAGATCAGTCAAAGGTGTTGATTGTTACAGGGGTGGGGGGTTTGGGCTCTCGGAGAGTCGGGTGGGGGCTGAAAGAGCGTCTCGCTGGCAGATCACTGCTGGTTGTGCCAAGGTGGGGGCTTGGGCTCTCGGAGGGTCGGGGTGAAGGCTGAGAGAGCGTCTCACTAGCGGATCTCACTGATTTTGCTTTCACAAGCAGGTCAGCTGTAGAGCAGCTTCAGGGCAGGCAGCACAAACTCCTACATGACCACGCATGCATTCATGAATGCCTCATGCGGTGACGTGTAAAAGCTACAGGGGGCCCTAAAACCCAGAAATCGCCAAGGACATAACGCCACCACATGCGAGCACTCGTCGAAAGTAGTTATTCTTCATGCATCATGCGTAGAGTACAGCATGCACAGGCGGAGGCACAAGTGTGCCATGCATCGTGGTGCGGCATGCAAACCAATTCATCGTGGTGCCAATGTACCGTGCATCGTCGTAGTGTCGTTCTGTGGTTCAGGAACGTGTCATGCACTGTTTCACAACAAATTCAACAAATTCTACAAAATAAATTCAAGTGGTCATGCTATACATATCGTGCTGCAGAACTGCTGCCACATGCCAGGATCTGTGTGCGCCAGGAGGCTCAAAGCAACAAGCAAAGATTAATTCAAAAGCAGCCTAGCCTCGACGGTACGGCTGCATCACAGGCCCCTGTGGCATGTTATTCCCAGGGATCGGATACCCAAGGATCTCGTCTTCGGCGGCGTACATCGTACGCCCCGAAGGGAAAGTGACAGCCACTCCCCCCGGCGCCGGGCTTGCATGCATAGGGTAGCACGGCGGCCCCGGAGGCAGGCGGGACGACAAATCCATCACCGAGGGCATTCCTGCTTGTTGCGCCTGCGGGACTACCGGAGCCTCTTGTGGGCACTGCTGCGTGGGAGGAGGTCGTCTGGCAGTTTGTCCTTGATCTCCGTCAACACCACCGACAGCTCTTGTACCACTGTACCAAGTTCCTGCACACCACTGTCTGTGTTGCGGGCCAGCTCCAACATCGGGGTAATGCTGGGGCTGTCTGCCGGGGGGGCCCCAAAGGCCGCCTTCAACTCCACCATGGCATTCTGTAGTGCTTCTGTGGCCTTGATGAGGTTGCGGAGTTGCCCTGCTTCCTCTCTGGCGTATGTCTGAGTGGAACCCATGAGGTTCCCGACTTGTTGCTGAAGGTTTTCCACCCTCTCCCTGAACAAAGATTCTGTACGATCCAATTTGTCTGACATGTTGTCAATCTTGACGATGGCACTCTGCAGGCGGGGGATAGCTTCATCCAGCTTGTCAAGCGTCGTCGTGCTTTGCGTGGCCGTCGTCTTGACAACGGCTTCCAGAGCTGCCTGGACCGCATCCATCTTGCTCTTCAGTGCGCCATCCAGTGTGGCAAAGCGGGCTTGTTCTGCCTTGCTCGCCCCTTGTACACTGGGCACGATCGTGTCTACCACCTTCTGCATCGCGCTTAACAAGTCCTGGATCTCCTGGACTTCCTTGAAGAGGCCGTTCAGCTTGTCCACACGGGAAAGCAAGTCCTTGAGGGGGTAGACGATGTCCGTAATCTTTTCCAGAGCCGCATCCACGACTTGGAACCGCCGAGTGAGGCGGGTATTGGTGTCCTGCGGAGCCGAGTCCAATGCATCAATCTTCAAATGCAAGGTCGAATTCGCTGAATTCATCAATTCACTCAGCATTGCAGAAAACTTGTCCAACAGCCCCATGTCTCCCATCCTTGCAATATCTCCCATCTTGGACTCGACGATGCGCAAGACCTCTTCAATGATGAAGTCCACCACTTGCTGGGGCAATGTTGTGCCCGCCCCCGGAGCCAGTGATCCACCGGCCATCGTGGCAGCTTGAGTCCCGGCCATCATTGCGGCTTGAGTCGACGCATCATTGTCCGCTGTGCTCGCTCCCGGAATTGCCGGGGGACCGTAAACAGGGGAGCGGAAGAACCTCCCACGTCGGCGCCAAAGCATCTTCAGGCACTGGATCACTGCGAGAGCAGCGAAGAACATCCCAACATATGTCCATGTCAGGGGAGTCGCCTGCCATGTTGCTTCAGCCTGTTCCATCACCGTGGCCTTGAGGACCACCCAGAGGGAAGGCATCTCGGTTGAAGGCGGCTGGGGGGAGACACGTTCCATGTCGGGAGCCGTGGGCGAAAGCAGCGGAAGAGTACAGACTACTCTAGCTCGAGCACTGCAGATCAGAGTCATTGTGTACGAAAACCGCGCTCCTAGGCTGAACTCTGGGGATGTGCGTCACGGTACCTGCACTGATTTGTAAACGGGCTTCCAGCGTCTATGCCTCAGAGGTGACAGACAGCGCACAGGGTATGTTACACACGCCATGCACTTGCCTCATGTAACCTACCATTACACAGAAATAGACCTCGAATTCAAGCCACATCTCCGAAAAAATCGCATAAATTCTCAAACAAATTCAATCAGAGAGCCATGCAGGAGTGAAACATGCTGGACATGAACATGCAAAACATGCAAATGCAAGTGGCAAAAGCAGCATGCAGCACGCAATACTCCTGCTGTACAAGGCAAGGAATTACGTACACCAAGTAGTTCGAGTGCTCAGTCATCCTTCCAGAATACATACGACGTCACTGTCTTCGTGCGAGTCCGATCCGGCCGTGGAATCATCCGAAGACAAGCAGATGTGCAAAGGCATGCGTGTGAGTTTAAGTTGATGCGCGGCTCAGAGGCCCGCCCGTGGGGGGGCCGTAGTGTGGCCTGTGTGAAAGCCATATTCTCGGAGGCTTTTCTGTAGTCCTCCAGGACCTGTGGGAAGAGGCACACAGTCCACTCTATCATCTACTGTAGGCGGCGGCATAAACCCCAAACAGCACAGGGCATCGATGTCCTCAGCAGTGAGTTTGTTCCATCCTGCAGGAACCCATCCAAGTAGCAAAACCCTAGAGGGTCCTTCCGAGACCGACGCATGCCATAAGGTCCTTGCATTGAGTCTGTATCGATGTCCACGTAGGATGGTGCCAGAGCGGGACACTCCATCTGGGCAGCGGACCACCTCGTCACCATTCGAAGCCTCAACCCAAGTGCCTCCACATGCTCCCTTGGAAAGGTTGACCAGGAGAGTGGGCATCGAGGTGTTGCGTACATCCTTGTGGGGGGGCTTGTTCACATCAACTTGAACTTGTATTGAAAGGAAGAAGTCCCCTGGGAACTCTGAGGCCAGAAACGCCGTGAGCAACTTCGTGGTTTCAGGGTACGTTCGGGAGAGAACTCTAACGCCCGCTTTCACCCTCACGAATGCCCCCAGAGCAACAGGTCCGCCAACTTCCTTAGCAAGCGAACTTGCCACATCCAGCACCTCAGGGTAGCCCGGTTCTCCATGGTGAAGAAGGTGCATCGCATGTGCTTCGATCGACATGATCTTCACTAATGGGGCTGAGCTCTCTACCACTCCGAACTGCAAACAGCAGGAATATCATGGACGTCCTGCCCCCCCCCCCCCGGTTCCCACTAACTCCTACCTAAACAGGGGACAACTGTCCCGAAGCGCATCCGCAAGTTGCTGGGCACCGTCACAAAAGTAGGCCTGGGAGAAGTCTAAGGTCCTAACCAGGTACTTGCTGTGCTGCGGTACAAAGTCCGCACTATTGAGGAGGCGCGACCATCGGCTTTCCTCCTTAAGGGGGGGGTTCCAAGAAAAGACGTTGAACTCCCTGCCGGTCAAGGAGGTTTAGGGCCTCAGTGGCATCTGCCAGCAAGAGTAAGGGGACATGTCGATGGAAGACGGCTCGGTGCAGGTATTGTGGGGGCAAAACGACGCTAGCTGCTTGTCGAAAATGCTCGCAAATTCCGAGAACCTTGTAGGCCAACCTCAGAACTGCAATGCTGCGTGCCAACAAGGTATCATTAGAGGCGCTTGCTTGTACCAGCACAACCTGATTCAAATGGGACCCTGACATGCAAAGTATCATGCACTGATTGCCGTGAGTCTTGCCCCAAAGGAAAAGGCCTGGGCTTTTAAGACATGCAGGTTGAATTACATGCATAGCAACTCCATAGGGCTCCTCGAAGAAGTCCTTAGAGGGCCGCAGCATGCAATCCAAAATGCCTTTCTTATTCCTAACGACAAGAAGCTGCCGGTCATACAGATACTCGAAGGTCGCGAGTCCCTCCGCATCCTTGTCAATCCAATGGTTCACCCATTGAGTACAATGGTTAATTAGGGCCAATCAAAGCGCTGCTGCAAAAACTGAGAAGGCGCTTCATAGGCTGGCGATGGGGGGTCCTCGCGAGGTGCCCTAGGTATTGCCAGAGGCGCGTGAGCCATGTAACGCGCCAGTCTGGCCCACCATTGTGTTTGCACGCCGTTTTTACTGCACGACGGCGCGACACAACATTTTCCACCCAGGTTAAGAGCGGATCTGTTGGTACCCTGAAGAGCGATAGTAAAAATGTGGTTTTAGCAGCCTCCAGGCGCCGGAGCATGGTACGGGTCGGTACCATAAGAGGGGAGGCCCACGCCCATTTAGCCGTTATGAACGTCTCAAAGATGTGCAGGCGCACCGAGATGGGGGCTTCACCCGCATCCATAATTCTTTTGAAACCATAATACGCATTGCTAGTCCTTCGCATGAGGTGCGACATGATGCTTTGCACATTATTGGTATGGGCCAGAGGAATGCCGAGGAAGACCAGGGCACTCTCTACTTGCAGAGGCAACGCTCGGCCTCGTAGCCAAATTCCTGGATGGCTCCCATCATGCAGGCTCATGACACGGCTTTTGTCCGGGTTAACGGACAGTCCTATGGTGGACAGGACGTCAACTACCTCCTGAAGCTTAAACTGAAGAGCAACAGGCGTGTCCGCAAACAACATAATGTCGTCGGCGTAAATGATGAAATGCGGAAGGCCCAGATTGGGACATGTCCAACCCGGAAAAAGTTCATCAAAACGGTCAGACAAGGGAGAAAGGAAGAAGTCCATGACTCGAGAGAAGACATCGGCTGAGTATGCAGTACCCTGCATAAGCCCCCGACAAAGGTCGATGCTGCGGGTCTGCCCCGCCAGAGACAGCTCAACCCTTGTACCGCTGAGGAGCTTGTAGAGGACGTCGCATTCCTTAGCCGGTTGGCACCTGAGCAGCCACGCCAAGACGGCTGCCTGGCTAAGGCTGTCAAACGCCGCTCTTATGTCTATTTTGGCAACATATGCCGATCCCTTCACCTGTCTTAGCAGTTGCATCGTGCTCTGAGCTGCCATGACCCCATCTGCTGCTTGCACTCCTGGTCTGCATCCGATTTGGTGGCCTGAATATGCAGGAGCCTGTTTGTGGACACGGCGCATTAGCACTTTAGAGAACACTCGACAGAGGACGGGAGTGAGGCATATCGGACGTAGGTCTTTCGGCTGAGAGGGTCGCGCTGTCTTTGCAAGGAGCACGATCCGTCCTTTCTTCCATGATTCGGGGAGTGGTTGATCCCCTTGGATCAGCTTAGTGAAGTAGCACGGAATCCGCCCCTGCTTGTCCTGCTGGAGTAGATATTGGATACCCTCATAAGTGACCCCATCGAGGCCGGCGCTAACTCCATGCCTAGCCCCTTGGAGGGCTTGCTGAATTTCTTCCAAGGTAACACTTGCTACCGGCATATCTCTGCTCCGATCCGCCAGTGTTTGGACCTGACAGGGGGGGGGACATAGTTCCGGAGGAGCCGAGTACTTAGACTGGTAGAAGGAGAAGAGCTGGGTGGCCGCCTGGTCCTTGCCCCCAGCCCGTTGAACATAGGAGCCCTCACTCTGGCCCCCGGCCGCACTGGAGCGCATGTGAGCAATCGCCCGGCAGTCCCCCGAGCGAGCTGACCTGAGGAGTTCCTCCTTATGTTGTGCTTTAGCCTCAATTCGGAGCTGGTGGATCTCCTGCATGAAGGCCGCTCGGGTCCAGGAGTCTTGACTACTCTTCCTACGTCCGATGAGCTCTTTAATGTGCGGGGGGTCAACGTAGCGTAGAGGGGCAGGTCGGTGGCTTACATCGGGTCGTCGAAAAGCCTCAGCGATGAAGGCGTCACTCCATTCAGCATGGTCCTTAGTTTCGTCCCAAAGCTTAGACCCATCAATCACCCACTTACCACACAAGGTCCTGCGGGGACGAAGCGTGCGTACTTGACGGTTTTTATGCCGAAAAGTGCAGCGCAGATGCAGGGCGTTGTGATCCGACGGTAACGCGACCCGAAGGTCCTCCCTGAGCTGAAAACGGACCTCTCCACCTCGCAGTTGGTACAAGTAAAAATCTATTGCACTCTCCGACCCCCTAGCGATCCAAGTAGACCCTAGGGCGGGACTTACATGCAAGCCTGTCTGAAAAACTAATTCTCCGTAATGCATCATGCCACCGAATTCGTCGACCTCAGCGTGCACGTCCTGGTTCAAATCATGACCAACCAAGATGTTTGTATTCCATGCAAGTCCTGACAGGTGCCCCAGAAGGCTGCTAGTCCCCTTCTCCCAAGTGTCGAGAGCATCGCACCTCTGTTGGTGCGGAAAGTGCAGACTAGCCAAAACCCAAGGCACCCCATGCATCATGCCGGTGACAATCACCCCAAATTCATGCACATGCACTTGCGGTTGTGTGAATTCTGAATCAAGAGAGACTAAGACCGCCACGCATCGATGACTAAGCATCGGGTTCGCAATGAAGATTTGGTATTCCTTTCCAGCAATCACTTCCGTGTCAGTTCGACTGGAAGCTTCAGGAAGTCCCCGGACATCACCTAGTTCCTGAAAGAAGAAGATGTCAGGGGGGGTTTCAAGGCCATGCAGCAAAGTGGACACATGTTGTGTACCTTTACCATGTAAATTCCAGGTGAGACAGTCTAAGGCCAAGGGCGCTTGTGTATTGACCTCATGTCTGGACTGAGTGCCGGAGCTCGCCACAGGTACAGGCGTTGGGTTACTGCTTTCCCCCCCGAAATCCTAGTGCATGTCAAAGTGCGAGAGAATGGCATGCCTGGAGGTACCGAGTACAGCTTGCATTTGCGGTATGTCGAGGTACCATCCTGTCTCATTTCCCCGGGCGTCCATGAGCATTAGGGAATCGGTGGGCCTAGGGCGGTATTCTACGTGATGCAGGACTTGTGTGTTTGCAACCCATACCTTCCCTCGCCAGTCCCGATCGACGATGGTATCCCCAACGTG